GAATTTCAGCATTCTCCTTTCTAAGTTCAGTAATCTCGGATGCAAGCCTAGAGTTTAATTCTCTCAAGGTATTGATTGTTAATTGATCGTTCGACATTGTTTTATTACAATATAGGATAATTCAAAAGGTTAACCACACAAAAAAGTATTTTTAAAAATCGCATTAACATGCTTTGCTTTATTGATTGTAATAAAATCAAAAATAATCAAATCTATCTATTATTTCTATACTATTGCCTACACTATAGGTTTATAAGTTTTCGTATTTCTAAACTATCTCAATATTAACTATACCCTGGTTTCATTTGTTATCGATTCTGAATAAAATAGAAATGCTGTAAGTTATACTTACATGAAACATGCAGTTATCTTTTTCGAACCTGAGAGAAAGGTTACGTTACCTGCTTTCTGCTTTGTTAATAATTTTCTCGGAAATCTGCGTGAGAGAATATTGGTTTTCAAGCCCAGAAGTTTATTCATTGGGATGCACTAGCGCAACCGAATATTCATACCTTTCGCCAAAAATAAATTATTGATTATTTCTGATTGCGAATCCAGTATACAAACATTACCTTAACGATTTGAGCTCGCTTTAGAGAACAGTTGGAAAGGAACTACAATTTTGCTATTTAATGCAAATTCTTGAGTAACGCGTATCATGTGTTCTGTACTATGGAAGAAATTCAAAAATCGCGATAACGCGTAAGTCAAAAAATTATCAAATTATTCTTTCGTTATGACCAAAAACAAAATACCTAAGTACTTCAATCGTAAATATAGTAGTTGGAATATAGTCGGCTTTTTAAGTGAATGTGACCTAGAACCATTTGAGAGAAAAATAGACGAATACCTTAAAAGCCTCCGAAAGATTAAAGCGGAAAAAGGAATGAGGCAAAAAAAAGCAAGTCAGCTTCTTGACCGATACCAGAAGGCAAGTAAAAACTTTTTTAAGTATAGGTAGAAAATAGTGGCGTGACGATCGTAGGCCTCCTTGGCCTTTCGTCATTCAAGGCTCTTTGCCGAGCCACAAAACCAGTGTTAGAGCGCAATTAACCTCTTTGGTTACTTGACGTTCAAGGCTCTTTGCTGATCTAACATTGGACCCATTGGGGTTGGGTGGCCTCCTTGGTTACCTGATACTCAAATGGGATGAAATCGAAGTATGAGCAAGAATTTTACTAATTTCCAAATCTTCTATGCTAGAATCCAAGACCGGATCAGAAAATTGCAAAAGCCTGGGAAAGAGAACGTACGCGCAAACAGGTTCATCTACACCAGCAAATAAGAACTGTAAATGGGTCAGTTGCCGGAACAGTTAATGGAGGAACAGTTGAAACCATCAATGAACAAGGAAATTCTCCACTCAGAAGGACACCGAGAAATATAAAAAAATTAAATTACAATGAAAAGCTAAATAGAGTGAATAACACCAGCAAGCGAATCTATGAAGAAATATCAGACGAAGATTCTAATGTATATAAAATGCTGTGTTAGTCAATATTTTCTGTTTCGTTATTTCTAATTTTCCAACATTAGGCTTATGATGATGAATATGATGAAATTGATGGCTACGATGAAGATGTCGACGAAGATGGCAACGAAAATGAAGATGAAGATGTCGACGAAGATGACAACGAAAATGAAGATGAAGATGTCGACAAGGACAAGAAGGCCAAGGAGAGAAAGAAGTTGGAGAAAAAGTTGATTGATAATTTTATTTCGAGATTTAAAGCGATAAATGCGGATGACAAATGGAAACTTCCTTCGGGTAGATATGTAGAAGATGTCTTATATGATTGGGCAGTGACTCACCGTTCTGAAACGTAGATATTCTACACTCATCGCATTGGTCATATTTGTTACTAAATATACATGTAATGAACTAACGTTTTTTCATTTAAACTTTCTATTAAGACTCGCACACTCCTTTATACTTGATACAGACTGTCAAGAAGTCATGGATCTGTTTAATCCGGAGGAAAAAGAAACAATTTTAAATACCAATAAAAAATCTTTTCCAGGTGTACAAGATGATATAAAAAAATATGTCATGAAATATCATAAGGTATTTTGTTTGGTAAAGATTGTCTGAATTGAGAACATTTATTAATAAATCTTCTAAATCACCACAGAAAAACGTCAGCGAACTTCGACAAATCGTTATGGAACCATATTTGAAAGATGGGGAGGTCTATAATCCAAAATTACATTACGATCTGGAGTGGATTCACTTAGTTTTTAATAAATTGTAAAGTTAACTCTCATCATTATGTATAATATTTTAATCCATGGCTGATTTTTTTTTCTTTATCAATATAGTGTTATTGAATGGGAACAAGGAGTGAATGCGCTAGCAGAGGATAATTTGGAGGCATGGATTGTGAGCCATGTATGGACCTTTATCGTTGATATGGCATTAAAGGACATTGAAGAAACGAAAATTGGAAAGTATGTTATTAATGTCCAAACAAAAATTATTATCGCATTTTTACAATACTAGTGACTAAGTACATATTTATTTCATAGGTCAGATGGTGGTTCGTCCGCATCAAAGATGCGTAAAAACAAAAAAAGAAAAGTTGGAAAAGCCGTTATTCGCGTAATAAACATTTAAATCTGTAATCTTATAACGTATAGATGTCCAAATTAATTTCCTTTTTTAATATTAATAGGGCAGAAAAATCGACATATTACTAAACTCCGTAATAGCTCAAGAGAAATATTAGCTGGAGAAGTCGCTAGAACAGGCGACATTCATAATAAAAAATATTTAGGAGATAGAATAAAATTATTAAAACTTATGAAAGACATGCTTGATATAATAATTGAATCACTTCCGCCAACAACAATTGAAAATTACAGGAGTCTGTGTACATTTGGAATACAACTTTTCAGTAAGTAAACATTATTCATATTCTATGTTACATTAATTGGCTTTGTAATTAATCTCTATAACCGCTTAGAAAATAATGGCACCATCTACGTTATGGACCATCCTGGAGGGGTCATTGCACGATTAACTAAAAAAGCACAACTAGAAGCACCTATATATATTGAAGGAATTTGCGAATTAATTTTATCAATAATTACAATGTTGGAATTGAAGGTAATGTTTAGTATTAGGCTTTGTATTTCTAATACATAGATATTCATTTGCTTTTGACATTTTTCCATATCTTGCAGAATGCAATCCGCGGGATCCTCCAAATAATCGAAAAAATAGAAAATGACGAATTAGAGGCCCAAGTTTTCCAGAGAAACAATACAGGTGTTCAATTACCACTTGTAGCAACAACACCAACTCCTAGAACTTCGCTCACAAAAAAAGAAAAAGTAATTAGAGTAATCCGTAAAGCAAACGGTATCAGGGAGTAGTGCATCAATAAAAATCATTCATAATTTTATTTGTATGTAAAACATATAACAAATATTGCGAACATGTAATATTTATTTTAAATCTCAGCATTTTGTGTAATAGTAACGCATATTCATTAACATACAATTATATGGGCTTCGTAATACTATCTTAAAATGACCC